GAAAAGGGAGGTACTTGTCTTTTCCTCCAAGAGGAGTGCTATTATTATATTAATAAGTCAGGAGTCATCGAACAAAACATTAATAAATTACAACACCTCTCCTCACAGCTCCAAAGGATAAAGTCTCCCCAAGTTGGCAGCCTATTACAAAACTCCCTACTCACCTGGCTTTTGCCTATTGTCAAACCTGTCATTCTCATTTTTGGCCTGTGCTCCTTTTCCCTTGTATTATCAAGTTTCTCCAGTCACAACTTTTAAAAATCTCTAATCAAAACATTAATCAGCTTCTCCTACAGAATTATGACCTCCTGCCCACCGAAGATCCAGGTCTCGACTGTCCCAACCCTACAAACCTCTAACCTTGTCTTCTCATTCAGACATGCTCGCCTTAAAGTTTACCCCCTACTACCTACCACACAGATTCTCAGCGTTTCTTGACCACCTTCTTCATGACAGTTGGCTCCTCCCTTTCCCATGTCCACTCGGCGACTGGCCAGACCAGCTTGCCGTTTTCCACTTACAAGGCACCTTCCAGGACTTCCACTCAAATGAAATTTTTTCTTTTGGTGCCTACTTATGGGGTCTCATGTGGCTTGGCCCTTCACCCACCTCACGCACCGACGCCCATTGTCAGCAGGAAGCAGATAGACAGATAAACGCCGCCCCTCTCCCGTATAACCAAAGAGGTGGAAATGAAGGGCCACCACCAGGGCCACTGCCAGGTGCTGGCAAACCACATCCCCTCCCTTTTCCTGGAAAGGGGCCGAAACCCAGCCCCTGCCTAAAATGGCAACCTGGCAAACAAAGGGGGTGTCTGAAACAGTACCTTCTGGTTTCTTCTTCCACAGTCTGGCTCACCTTTTCCTGCGCCTGCAAAAAATCCACCAACCTGGATGGAGCTCCGCAAGTTGACCAATAATCGACTGACAGGTCGCCCTAAACCCCCATAAAGGCTGGCATGCCCTTGCTTCAGCGCTACAGCCTGACCCTCAGGTCCTGTAGCCCACCATATTCGACCCATTAAATCTCTTGGCCTTAAAGGGTGTTGAGTCTCACTGTGCACCACCGTCTTTCAGTTATCATCACAGGAACTCCTGCTGCTATGGTTACACAAAAGGAAGCATGTGCCTTTCACATGAACAGGTCCAGGTGCACACAGGACACCCTCCTACTCTCAAGCAGATGTATTTTTCAAACATAAAGAAAAATAAGAAATTCTTATCCAGTTTCTATGTACCCTTAATTGTTTATAGCTATATAACATCGTTCAATACTTACACCTGAATCCAACATAATGATATATTACCTTTTACTATTCTATGCTAATTCAAACTGGTTTCTATAAAACAGTTGCTATGGTTACACTCTCCAAGGACCAGCTGGCCTAATTCAAACTTCACTGGCCCCCCTAAATCAAACTGAACTAACCACACTTCTATAATAAAATGTTACTATAATTTTCTTAATCTATATAAACTATTTTCTAAAACCTATATCTATAAATTTCTAAAATTACATCAAGAGAACCTGTGACCTACACTAAGTCTTCTCAATGTGACTCAAAGTCAAACTTAAATTGTTTAAAAGCAAAAGACCATAAACCATGGAAAATGGAAACAATAGACTCCCAGGTTTACATTCCTGTCTCAGAGTTTTCTGTTAGAGCCAGCAGGAGTCTTTCCTGGTTGCTTGTGCCAAATGGAAAAGGAGGGAGGGAATGGGGTCAACAGCTCCCGAACACCTCCTAGTGGTCTCTGGGTCAACAGCCCTTCCTGATCCCTAACACTCAGTGTGTCTCCGGGGCCGGCTCCCAACATATTTCCTCTTGCTTTGTTCAGTTCTGAAGTTGGACTGCAGGTTGAGGGCATTCCTTTTTGTAGATTTGGGATTTAATTAAGGGGGGAGCTGTGATTCAAAATCTCTCTGCAGATCCCAGTATCTGCCAACAGGTGTATGGATAGTCTGAAACCCACTTCCCACTGCCTTGGAGTCTGTCCATGCAGTGGGGTTGTAGGTTTACTCCCTGAAAGCAAAATGAGGTTAACAGAGGGAAGAGAATGGAGCAGGCAGTGTGGGGAGGAGGGGATGGAGGGAGAGAGAAGTGAGAGGGAAAACAGATGAGTGTATTGACTGGTAAGTGAAAAAAGACGCAAAGACAGAAACAAATATAAAGAAAAACAATAACCACAACTGAAAACTAACCAACGAACCATATAAAAAGCTAAAACATACAATGATGCTAACGTACATGCTGACCAACCTCCTTATTGGCATGCTATTCCTCTATACAAAGATGGGGTTTACAGAGAAATAAGAAAAAAGGAAAAAGAAAAAAAGGGGAAAAGGATAGATTAAAGTCAGTAGACTAACAGAACCAACCAAGCACATTCTGAGAGTTTTCCTTTAAGTCCAATGTCCTTTCAGCTCTGATTTCTAGCTGTCTTTGCAGGCTAGTAGAATTATTCACAGTTAGGGTCAGTTGCCCCTGGCCTGCTGTAAAGAACAGTTCAGATATGGGCCCCCTGCCCAGTCTATTACTAAGATCTGGCTTTGTCTACTTATCAAAAGGGAAGAGCTTCTGTCATTCCCGTTTTGAATTTGTTACCTTGGATCCCCAGCAGGTGGTGATATTTCACTGCTGCAGTCCAGGTGGGAGTGAGCCGGTTATGGATCCGCAACCAGTGGCGGCAACTTCCCCATGCACTGGGTGAGCTCCACAGGCCTAGATCCGGGCAAGGGGTGTGGCCTGGCAGTGGCGGCAGCAGCCGCCGGGCAGCAGCAATCTCAGAAGATCCTGCTTGTGGGGGCTTCACGGTCTGAAGCCTCATGGGCCGCCTCAGGCATGGGCGGGCAATGACCGTGGCGGCAGCATCTGTGACTGCGGGAGCAGCCTAGACCACTGTGATGTCTGAGTAGCGACAGTGGTGGTGGTGGCAGCTGAGCTCCCTGTGAAGAGCAGGCTGCAGAAGATGGGTGCTGCAGCCCTTGGGAGAGAGCTAGGGTCTTTATGAGTGTTCTCTTTCGCAGAGGGTCTCACAGACCATGCTGCCCCATCACCATCTTGCCGGAAGTCCTTGTCTGAATTTCTGATGACCTGGGGAACGTCCAGGATAAGAATTCCAGGCAGGACTGTCAAGAGCTCCAAGAGACCTGGACACGCACCGTTTGTCCTGGATTCTCCCTGGCTCACCTCTGACTTCCGTTACTGGAAAGTGGACATGAGACAGTGTGAAGTGCAGGACCCAGATGCTGGCAAAGAATCTGTGAATTGCCAAGGATGGTCCTACTCTTCAGAAATCAGATCTGGACTCAGTTTGAGAAATGGAAAGGACTTTTTTTCTCCCCAGCATTGTGTGTGTGATGGGCTTCTGTGTGATCTGAATTGTAAAAACTGGAGTTTTCCTGGGTCTGGACATTGGAAACATTTCTTTTAACATGAGGAATAGTTCTCCTATCTTTACGTTTACCAAAATTTCTGCACCTGAGCCACTGTACCTGTTATTTTACTTTATAAAATCCAAGCAGTGGTGATCAGGGTTTCCCAAGTATCTGAAGAATCCAGGCCCTACCATTTCTCATTTTCAGAAGAATTTGACAAATTATATTTCCATCTACATGTACTAGATTTTATAGAATCCAACTTCTGTATCATCTATTTTGTAGGAACCATATTTTTTAAATTTTTTTATTTTTTGAGACAGAGTCTCACTCTGTCACCCAGGCTGGAGAGCAGTAGCATGATCCTGGCTTACTGTAATCTTGACCTGAGCTCAAGCAATCCTCCTACCTCAGCCTCCTGGGTAGCTGGAACTACAGACATGCACCACCATGCCTGGATAATTTTTTTGTATTTTTTTTGTAGAGATGAGGTTTTGCTGTGTTGCCCAGGCCAGTTTCAAACTCCTGAGCTCAGTAATTTCCCCATCTCAGCCCCCCAAAGTGCTGGGATTACAGGCATGAAGGAAGCCTGTCCTGCAAGGGACCCACCCTCCAAGAGATAATTCTGGTTTTAGAGGGTTCCCCCTTATTTGATTGTTTCACCACATTTTTTTGGTAGCCTGTAGAAGCCGTCTTATAATAAAATTTTTAATTGTATACCAGGTCAATAAGGCATGAATGATTTATAGCAGAGGCATCAAATAACTAAGGACTGTTTAACTATGACAGTGGGGTGTTTATGTATATTTGAAAAAACAAAGGGTACCTGCATAATGAACAGTTGTATACTTAACCCTGAATTGCACCCTACATCTTTGAAATAAAAATTTTTTAAATTTTTTTAAAAGGGTAGGAGAAAAGACAATATTAAACAGTATAGATACATTTGAAAAAGATAACACTGAATTTCACAAATATATTGGAGCATCATATATTGAAGAATAAGTAGAGATTTGGAAATGCTTTTTTATTAGACAAGAAAACTCATCACATCTAAATATGGACAAACAAAACAAAAAGTTTCGATAGATGGTGGCTCTAGTGATGCCACCACAACCTACAGACACATCCCAGCATCACTTCCAAGTCAGAAGTACCAGAGGGACCGTGGACTCTTCAAATCCATGACCGCACACACCAAGACATCCATTCAGAAAATAAAGTCATGCTTTCCACTGTGTTTAGCAGTCATTTCACACGGAGGGGGTGCCAGAAAATATACACACATTTTAAGCGATGCTATCTATGCATCACTTTTCAAAGTTGAATTGAATTACTGTAACCATGTGTAGTATGACACTCACTCAACCGTGCTTTTGCCATTTTGCTTGACTCTCCTGCCTGTCATGGTGACACTGGCATTCATTTGATGAATGCTGCCTTTTGGGTGAACGTCTTCTTAAAATGTGCATATATTTTTTGGTAGCCCCTGTATCTGTTTCTAAATATTGCAAAGTAGGATGGAAATTCCAAAGGAAAGAGAATCCAGGCTGGAGGCGAACCAAGCTGCCCACATGACTGAGGGAAGGCCTCCGTGGAAAGGTCGCTTCAGGGTGTTCCTGTCAGAAGTGCACACCCCTGATCCTGCACTCCTCTTCAATCCAAGGCTGACAGGAGAGGGTTAGGTGGGGAAGTTTTTCTTCCACAGCTGTCAGCATCTTTTGAGTCTCCTCATTATATATAGATTTGTCCAGCCTGGGAAAATAGAAAAAACGTTTTCCTTTTTTGGGGGGTGGGGGGATGTTAGGGTCTCACTCTGTTGCCCAGGCTGAAGTGCAGTGGCACAATCATGGCTCACTACAGCCTCAACCCCCCATGCTCAAGCAATCCTTCTGACTCAGCCTCCCAAATAGCTGGGACTATAGGCATGCACCACCATGCCTGGCTTACTTATTCATTTTCAGAGATGGCATCTTGCTATGTTGCCCAGGCTGGTCTTGAACTCCTGGGCTCAAGCAATCCTCCCACCTTACCCTCCCAAAGTGCTGGGATTACAGGCATGAGCCACCACACCCAGTCAAGTTTTCTTCACACAAGATTTCACCTGTCTGCATTCTGAAGCCTACCCCTCCTCTTCACTGCTCCCTAGAAAGGACTAGGAGAATCATATTGAATTTGAGCAGAAAGCATGAATCATCCCAATGAAATAGGAAACCTCTGGTTTACACAGCAGAGTAAGAGCCCACAGAAAGCAAGTACCAGAGAGAGATTAAGGTGTAAGTTGAAAAATATTAGTTAGGCAAAAATGACAACTTCCATCCACAGGCACCTTCATCACTCCTTGTGGCACCATGTGTTTCCTTTAAAACTTTTACAATACATTACAGACGTTTAAGATATGTGTGTGTGTGTGTGTGTGTGTATGTGTGTATACGTATATATGTATACAAAGAAACGAGTATAATGAATTAATGTACCCATCACCAGTTTCAACAATTATCCATATTCAGCCTGTTCCACTCATGGCCCGCCCATTTTTTGTGAGATAATTTAAGGCAAATACTACACCCATAAATATTTCAGCTGTTCTTGTCTGTTTTTTGGTGCTTCTAGGTCCTTCCCTCATCATTGTCTCTGAACCCACTTCAATAAACCTGTTTTTTTATGGCCACCAATACCTTATCAATGTTTAAAATAAATTCTATCCTACTTAAACAGTTATCATGGAATAGAATTTATTACACTTTCTTTCTTGAAGTATTTTTTTCCTTAGCTTTTGGGACACTCCTCCCTCCTGGCTTTCCTGCTCCCTCATAAGCTGGATCTTTCCTTCATGTCTTTACATCTTCTAAATGTGGAAAGACCCCTGCTATCAGGGAAACAGGACAAATAAGAAGTTCCCAGATGATGGCAAGACTGGCACCTACGTGTTCCTGAGAGAACATGACTGGGCATCCCAATACTCTTCCCCTTCTTCCCCTTTCTTTCCTGCCTGGTGTTCTTGATCAAAGTCATGTGCCTTTTCACCTCCAGTTATAAAAGGGCATTGAGAAGTATTGGCAGGTCACGAATGTTTATAGACGTGCATGCACGGTAGGAATGAGTGTTTTATTATCTTTGGATCTTCGAAAGTAGGGAAAATGGTTAAGTTTCCCTTCAGCCATAGACACACTATGACAAACAGGTTCCCTGGTAAAAACTCAGCTGAATATTTGCTACTGTGGAGGTGACATGTTTTGGGTGTGGGGCTGGTGGTTGAGTAAGAGGGAGACATAATAAAATTATTATTTTATAAAGCAAGTCTTAACTACCTGACATGTCCCTGAAGGAGCAGGGTCTCTGTTTCCCCTCTGAGCACAATTATCTCTCTCTTTGCCATCCAGCTCCTTCTATCCCTGGAGAGCACAGAGCCCAGACCCAACTCAAGGCCTTTGCACCCCCTGCACCCCCTTCCCCTGGGGTCTTCTTCCCTCTTCAGTTCATTCCTTTCAACTCTACTCAGAACTCTCTGCAAAAACCACCTTGGAAGCATTTACAGACAAGCATCATGTCAAAGACAGAATATCTGGAGCCCTCACTCCTGCTTTCAGGGTCTAGTTGGGTAATCGCCCGCCCAGGTGCCCTCAGGTAGAAGAAGTCATTGTCTCTGAACACCAAGGTCCTCATCTGCAAGGCAGGGTAATACGGAGCCTCTCATGGGCTACTGGGAAGATAAAATGAGCTCTCAGGATACTTAGAACAGGGCCTGGGTTCGTAAGATCCTTCTGTTCACCTCAGCCCTGAGACTCTACTGTCTCCTTCTTCACTGGTTCTGCCCTGACTGCACCACTCCCTTCTCGCTTTAGGCTACTCTGTGTCCCAAACCTCAGCACCTCAGGCTCTTACATATTCCTCCGACCACCCCAAAATAGGGTAAAGGGTGCAAGTCGGAGATGTGAGCCATTGTATTCATGACCACATTCTAGCAAGGGTTCAAATATTCATCCTACAGGTGTCAACTAGGTACACTCTAAATGCAAATACGATTGTTAGAGCAATATTCACTGCTGCTTTTTAGTGAATGTATTTCTGAGTCAAGACTCTGCTCAGCCAGCCCTTTATAGAACATGTGGCTGGGCACAGTGGCTCATGCCCATAATCCCAACACTCTGGGAGGCTGAGATGGGAGGATTGCTTGAGCTCAGGGTTCAAAATGAGCCTGGGCAACACAGTGAAACCTCGTCACTACAAAAAAATTAAAAATTCGCTGGATATGTTGGTGCATGTCTGTAGTTCCAGCTACTCAAGAGGCTGAAGTGGAAGGATCGCCTGAGCCAGAAGGTCAAGGCTGCAGTGAGCTGTGAGTCTTGCCACTGCACTCCAACCTGGGCAACAGGGGGAGACCCCAACTCCAAAACAAACACACACATACAAAAGAACCTCTTCCCAACTCTGAGCTCGGGCTCTGCATTTCTGGGCAATTCAAATAGGAGTTAGTGTTTACAATAGAGCAGGGGTTCTCACCTGAGGCCACGGTGTCTCCTGGGGACATTTTACAATGCTGAGATAATTTTGACTGTCACAACTAGAGGGAGGTGCTTCCAGCAAATGATGAGTTGCAAGAAGGCAAAGCCATCACTCGCTGTCCTGCAATGCCCAGGACAGGCCCCACCATGCAGAACTCTCTAGCCTCAAGTCAATTGTGTGGAGCTTGAGCAATCTCACGGGGGACTCACCTCAGGCTGAAGTCACTCACCACCAGGGAATACAGTCTTCACTCACCCCAGCAGCTTCAGAGTGCAGTCTGGGTGTCTCAAAGCCTCACACAGCACCAACGCCCCATCAGGGTCCAAGGATATCCCACTGAGGTTCAGGCACCTCAGGGTTTTGCAGACAGTGAGCGCCAGGGCGAGGTCTTCACAACAGGCACTGGTGAGCTCACACAGTGACAATCTGCAAAGGAGAAACACACCAGGGAAGTGACATCAGCTTTGGACAGGCTGGATGGCATGCCATTGTTGTAGTTCAGTTTTATACATTGGAGCCCAAGACTTCACAGTCTGGACCAACCATACTGTGCCCCATGGAAGACGTATGGCAATGTCTGGTGATGTTAATCCCAACTGAGAGTTGCTACGGGCAACTTGTGGATGGTGACCAGGGATACTGCTAAACATTGTATGGTGTACAGCAGGGCATCCAATCTCTTGGCTTCCCTGAGCCACATCGGGTAAAGAGGAGCTGTCTTGGGCTGCACATAAATTATATCATATAGTGTATACACATAAGATTTCCTTGATTTTTTCATATTTTTATTAGAAAGTTTAGGAAAATTAGAACAATATAAAACTAATGGGAAACTTGACTGTATTTTTGTCTGGCTCTGTGGAAGTGGTCACAATTCTTGGTGAGTTCCCAAGGTGCTTGTCAGAAATGTTTGTTCGAATTTTGCTCTTTGTGGGCTTCATCATTGAAAACAATGGCTCACAAGGGTATGCGCTGTCAAAAAGCGATGTCATGAACAAGGTATGATTGTGAACATGGAATCATAAGGAAAATACATGCTAAAAAAAGCATGATGTTAAAAGATCTTGTAGGGCCTCATGACTTGCTGTCCTGGGCCACATGCTGCCCACAAGTCATGGGTTGCACATATCTGGTGTACAGGACAGTCCCCCATGGACAAGAATTACCTGTTCCCAAAGGCCAGGAGTGCCAAGATGGAGCAAACTCTGGGACAGCATTAGCGGATTGTCTCAGACAGATGTGCTTTTGAACCCACTTCCCTTTGATGCTATTAAGCCTCCAACTTTTCCTACTCCTGAAATTTAATAAAAAAAACTTTCCCACAATGATATTCAGTAGATACTTACCCAAGACTCTGCAATTTGCAGTCAGGATGCCTCAAAGCTTTGCATAACTGTTTGACACCAGCATCTTGTATTTCATTGCTCCCAAGTTTCAGGGTCTGTAGTTTTTTATTGCAGATAAGAACATCAGAAATATCCTTACAGGAAACAGGAGTAAGGTAACAACCCATCAACCTGGGAGGGAAAATACACACACATATACAAATATACATATATACACTCATGAGGGACAATCATAACAGCTCAGCTTATTTTTATTTATTCACCTGAAACAAAAAATATCCAAGTACTTCTGAGATGGAGGAGGAAGAAAGAGAAGGGAGAAAGGAAGGGAGGGAAGGAAAGACAACAACTGGTGGTGTTGGTGAGAGGCTGAGTTCAGCTTCAGTGAATTTTTTTTTAATTCTTTCAACATGTTTGCCTATTTCATGATGGGTGATTTACAAGCACACCAGCCCACGCCATGCTGAGGGTTCAACAACGTTTGACTAAAAACAGCATGACCTTGTGTCCCACCCTCCCTATTTACCCAACCTCACCCTGAGTGACTTTATTTTTGTTGTTTCCTGGATGAAAAAAGTTCTTAAGAGGATATGTTTTGTTGAAGTGGAAGAGATGAAACAAAAAAAACCAAAAATGGCAGAAGCACTAAAAGGCATCAAAATGGATGAGTTCAAATACTATTCTGAGCCAGTGGAAAATGTGTCTCAATAGGTGTATTGCATCCAACAGAGAGTACTTTGAAGGTGACTGAAGTTTAAACGTGTAAGAATAAATACATAATTTTTATAAATAAATCCTGGGGGCTTGGGGGGTCCCCCTCATATTTCTCACAGTTCCAAAGGCTGGGAAGTCCAAGATCAGCAAATGGCAGCAAATTCGGTGTGTATGAGGACCAACTCCCAGTCTATAGACAGCATCTTCCTACCATGTCTTCACACGGTGGAGGGGGCAAGGTGGTCCCCAGAACCTCTTCTATAAGAGGGGAAGGCTCTACCTTCTGATCTAATCACCTTCCAGTATCTAATACCATCATCCTGGGTTAGGAATTAACATATGAATGTTAGGGAACAAAGACATTCGGACACCAGTATGTTCTTATCTCCCCCTAGAACGCCAATACCCAAAAAGGAAACCCAGGCACTGAAGCGAACCACAGCCAGTCCTACCACAGGTCCCGTATGTTGCAGTCTGGGTTATTCAATGCTTTACACAGAGATATCACTCCATCATCCTTCAGGACATTGGACCCCAGGTCAAGGAAGAGCAGGGATTTGTTGCATATAAGGGCTTGAGAGATGTATCCACAGGAGATGTAGGTGAGACAGCAGTGCGTCAACCTGCAAGGAAGCACACACACACAATCCACCAACCTGCCTAAGCAGTATATGGTGATATCCTCATGACATTCATACAGAGGTTCCCAGCTCATTCCCTGCTTTCTTCCATCACTTGAGAAAATGAGAGGATTCAGACGTGCAACAGCTACAGAAATACAGAAGGACGAATGGGGAACACAGTGAACTGCAAACAGAATTTTAGATTCCAGTTCCAAGTCAGATCACTACCAGCTGGGAGATCTTGGACAGAATCACCCCCATTCTTTGCAAGAGAGTGAACTTGGGGCTTAATGGAACATACTGGACAATATCCTATGTAAAATCATTTTTTGTTGTTTTTTATGCTTGCTTTTTTAAAAATATATATGGTTTTGCTAACAAAGTAGATTTTAGGTGCTTGTGCCACTAAAAAAAATAACAGTTGTAACTATGTGAGATGACAGATATGTTAATTTGCTTGGCTCTAGTAACTATTTCAGTATGCATATGTATATTAAGTAGCTTCTATTCTTTTAAAAGAGCATTTTATCATCCTACCCTGTACACTTAAAATTTGCTGTGAGTTGATTTTAAGTACCTTCCCCATGGTCTCAAAAAACAGTAACTCTGTGAGGCAATGAGTATGTTAATTAGCTTGACTGTGGTAATCATTTCACGGTGTATTCATATGTCAAAACATCACACTGTATACCTTAAACATGTATAATTTTTATTTGTCAATTGTGCCTCGAAAAAACTGGAAAATGAATAAATAAAAGTCAGATTGGAATCTCAAGGAAAGAAAATATTATCTATAAACTAGTTTTGTGACTATGAGTTCTTGTGTGCTCAATGCTGTAAATTTGGTAAATAACAGGAAGGATAAGACACAAGTCACAAGCTGGTAGTTAACAACTGAATATGACCCCTAGACACAGTGTGTTTAGTTGACATCAAGTCTAACTTTTTTAAAAAATTAGCAGTCAACATTTAACCACCAAGAAATTGCACATGAAATCCCCCACTTTGAGCTTCCAAAGAAGAGCCAGACCCCTGGAACACTGCCCCAGGTGGGCACACGGCAAGACAGGTGGAAGGGAATCCTGCCTCTCCTGTGGATGAGGCAGGCATGGTCCTGCTCACCGCTGCCCTTCTGACCACTCAACTCACTGCCGTATTTGTTTGGCCTCTTTCGTGACATCTGAGGAAACAATCCCTAACAGGGAAAAAAGCACAAGTCCTCGACAAACAAACGGTACTCACTTGGGGTGGGTTTTCCCTTCTGTCTTCTCAGTGTTGAGATTACAGCCAGGCACAGTAGTTCACGTCTATAATCCCAGCACTTTGGGAGGCCAAGGTGAGAGGATTGCCTGAGCCCATGGGTTCGAGACCAGCCTGGGCAACTTGGTGATACCTCATCTCTACAATAAATTTTTAAAAATTTAGCCGAGTGTGGTGGTGCATGCCTGTAGTCCCAGCTACTTGGAAGACTTGAGGCAGAAGGATCACCTGAGCCTAGCAGGTCAAGGCTGCAGTGGCCATGAATGTGCCACTACACTCCAGCCTGGATAACAGAGTGAGACTCCAACTCAAAAAAAAAAAGTGATGACTATATTATCTTTAGGTTTGCTTGGTCACCTGTATCCCCTGACTCATTACTAGCAATAGTCATGTCCTTCAGAGGCCAGCCTTGGCCAGAGGCCACTCCCTGAGGTGGGGGAAGAAAGAAGCCAGGTATAAGGGGAAAGAATCTATGTCCCCACAATACTTCACAGGCATAAAGTACCTTAGAGATTACACAGTGGGCACCGAATTCAAGTGTTTCAGTAAAATAAGCGTTTTCCAAAATTTTGAACATGTGCCAGTACTTAGCGGTTACACAATAGAGTCTTCACAGCTACAGGGCTCTATAATTGCACATGTCCTGAATACCCCCACCTGAATTCTTGATACTTTCTGCCATTTTAAATTATACTGAATGTCTACTTTGCATCAAAAACCTTTTCTTGAAGACCTGAGGTTTACTTTTGTGTAAAATCTGTTAACACAGACTTTTCCATGTAAGTGTCTTGATTTACTAGCAAGCTTACCTTGTAAAACATTGAACTCATAGTTAATATTCTAGCCCTCTTCTATTTTATATACATAAAAATGTGTGTGTTGCATATGTACTCGGTCACACATATGAGAGGGAACCCAAAGGATACTGGAATTTATTTATTAAAAATTGGTGTGTTTATTCTTACAGGTTTAAACTTCCATCGCCTTCAAAGGACTCTCCGTTTGATTCAATACACCTACTGAAATGCTTTTTCCACTGCTCAAAACAGTTTCAGAATTCATCAGTTTGAATGTCTTTTAGTACTTCTGCCATTTTTTGGTTTCACCTCTTCTACGTAGGCACAACATTTCCTTCTGAAAATTTTTTTTCAGCCAGGGAAAGAAAAAAAGTCACTTGGGGCAAGATTGGGTGAATAGGGAGGGTGAAGCATGGCAGGAGGGTCATGCCATTTTGGGTCCAAAACCGCTGAACACTCAGTGCAGTATGGACAGGTATGTCCATAAATCACCCATCATGAAATGGGCAAATACATTGAAAGAATCTCCAAAAAAAGTCACCAAAACTGAATGCAGCCTCTACCAACAACGCTAGCTGGTCCTCAGATGCTGATGCATTTCTAGAACATTCACCTCCCAAGGGAAGCCTGTACTACAAGTGGCCTGCCCCCCAAAGAAACTCCCAGCTTTTGAGAGGTCCCCCCCAATCCTATGTACATGTGTGTGTGATGCATATGAGCTTGGACACACGTACACGCATGGGTGCACAGCATGCAAACAAAACCACCTGTTCTTTCTGCAGACCCAAATGGGCCTGAGCCTGTTTCCCACTCTGTGGGAGTTTGTGCTTGACTTGACACTAAGTTTCTGGTGTGGCCTCACTGGAGAAACAGAGAATATGCTCTCCTGCTCCCCTCACTAACCACTGCCAGCTGAGGAAGCAGGTCCCTTCACACATGAGCAATGAGTCAGAGGAGGTGACACTGGAAGAACCCTAACAATCTTAGGTCACGCAAAGCCCTGAGCCCAAAGGAACTCAGAGGAATTCCTTTCTCTGGATTGTCCATACGCTCCCATCCCTCAACACCCAATATACCCACAGAGACATTTTCCCTCCTCATGACCACTAGGGTTCACTGAGGTCCACGTTAGACATGAGGCATCTAACGGCTTGTCTTGCATCTCCTGGACTCAATCTCATGGTCCTTCACTGCTTGTATTAACCCCATTGTACTGATGAGCACAGGAGGCACAGAACAATGACTCCAGCCAATCAAAGTCCACATTCAGCTGCATCCCTGAGCATTGTATTGCTTTGTTTTTTGTTTGAAAAATATTTTTTTTGAGTCAGGGTCTCGCCCTGTTTCCCAGGCTGGAGTGAAGTGGCACAATCATGGCTCACCGCAACCTCAACCTCCTGGACTCTGGTGATCCTTTTGCCTCAACCTCCTGAGTAGCTGGGACTACAGATGGACACCACCATGCCCAGTTAAATTTGTTTGAGTTTTTATAGAGACAAGGTCTCACTGTGTTGCCCAGGCTGGAGTACAGTGGCACAATCACCGCTCACCACAGCCTCAACCTGGACTGAGGCAATCCTTCCACCTCAGTCTCCCAAGTAGCTGGGACTATAGGCACATGCCACCATGCCTGGCTAAATTTTTCTAAAAATTTGTAGAGACAAGGTCTCACTGTGTTGTCTAGACCGGAGTGCAGTGGCATGATTGTGGCTCACCACAGCCTCAGCCTCCTAGATTCAGGTGATCCTTCCGCCTTAGCCTCTTGAGTAGCTGGAAGTACAGGCACACACCACCATGCCTGGCTAATTTTTAAAATTTTTTTATAGAGACAAGGTCCCACTCCATTGCCCAGGCTGGAGTGTAGTGACATGATCACAGCTCACCAGAGCCTCAGTCTCCTAGATTCAGGCAATCCTTCTGCCTCAGCTTTCCAAATAGCTGGGACCACAGGTGCACGCCTCCATGCCTGGCTAATTTTCTTTGAGCTTTTGTAGAGACAAAGTCTCACTGTGCTGCCCAAGCTGGAGTGCAGTGGCACAATCATGGCTCATCGCAGCTTCAACCTCCTGGACTCAGGTGATCCTTCCACCTCAGCCTCCCAAGTAGCTGGGACTACAGGTACACACCACCATGTCTGGCTAATTTTTTTTGAATTTTTGCTCTACAAAAGCTGGGCTCAAGCAATCCTTCTGCCTCAGCCTCCCAAAGTGCTGGGATGGCCTTGATTTTACTTTCATAGTGGTTGGATGCACATACAACTTCTGAAATCTTCCCCGAATATGTTTCTCCCAGACCAACTTACATCAGTGTCTCCAGGGCACAGCTTGGGTGTTTCAGGACCTCACACAGCGCCATCACTCCTTCATTCTTCACGGAATTTTCTACCAAGGACAGACATTTCAGCTTGTTGTTGCCAATGAGAACAGAAGCAATCTCTTCACAAGTTTTGCTTGTGATGTCACACTTCCCCAATCTACATGTAAGACACATGTCATGAGATGGGACAGAAACCATGGGTAAAGACCAAAATGTGCGTTTCTTACTATAAATCACAACATCAAGGTACTGAAGTTGATAAATCCTGGTCTAAGTCTTCATGTAGCATAAAAGTGATGGGTAATTCATGGACACGTAATCAGGCCCTTGCTTATTTCTTCAAATCAGTCTCACACTACTTCCCAATACAGCTGACCTATGGACAACACAGGTTTGAACTGTGCAGATCCACTTATATACAGATGTTCTTCTGCTTCTGCCAATCCCAAGACAGCAAGACCAACTCCTCCCCTTCTCCCCCCTCCTCCCACTCAAGGTGAAGACAAGGATGAGAGCCCTTTATAATGACCCACTTCCACTTCATGAACAGTTAATACAGTTTCTCTTGGTTATAATTTTCCTAATAACATTTTCTTTCCTCCAGCTTGCAACACCATAAGTATATACTACACATAACATGCAAAGTATGAGTTAATTGACTGCTTATGTTATTAGTAAGGCTTCCGTCAAACATAGGTGATTCATACAAGGAGAGACCCAAAAAAATCTGGAATTATTTTTTGGAGGGTGGGTCCCTTGTAGCACAGGCTTTCCTCACTAGGTCAGTGTTCTTGGAACCCAGAGGCATCTGTGGACCAGCTAGTGTTATTGGGAAAAGCTGTGTTCTATTTCAGTGAAATTTTTTTGGAGATTGTTTCAGTGCATTTGCCCACTTCATGGTGGGTGATTTATAGGGCACCTGCCTACACCACGCTGAGTGTTCAGCAGCTTTGGAACAGAAATGGCATGACTCCTGTGCCCCAACCTCCCTATTTACCTGATCTCACCCCGAGAGACATTTTGTTTCCCCGGAAGAAAAAAGTCCTCAAAGGGAAATGTTTTGCCAACGTGAAAGGAATGAAACGAAAAAATGGCAGAAGCATTAAAAAGCATCCAAACTGATGAGTCCAAAATTTCTGTTGTGAGCAGTGGAAAAAGTGTCTCAATGGGTGTACTGCATCAAACGGTGAATACTTGGAAGGTGACTGAAGTGTAAACACGTAAGAATTAATACACAAATTTTATCAATAAATTCTGTTTGGGGGATCCTTCTTCGCAGTTAAAAGTTTTGGGGGAGTCAAAAGTTATATATAGATTTCCTACTACATGGAGGGGATCAGTGTCCCCAGCCCCTGTGTTGTTCAAAGGTCAAGTGTCTCCTAGTTACATGGTTGCTTTTCCATGACTCTTTTTCTCCCGACTCAAAGGTCAAAGCATATGGACACTTTCACGCATGAATTGTTTTTCTCCATTCTGATAATTTTTTAAAATCTCCTTATTCTTCAGGCTTCATTTGGTTGAAAGTATAATGGAGATCTGTCCTCTTAGACCAGGGGAAATTAGAGAGAAAATGTAGCAGAAGCAATATTTAAACAGATAATGCTAAAGAGTTCTCAGAAACCTTTGCAAACGTTCATCCACAAATGTAAGAAGCTCAGAGAAGTTTAACCAGGATGAATACAAAGACAGACAAAAACCACACATGTGGAGATCTTAAAATTAGTCAGAAACATAGCACATTAAATGCATGGCTTTCAATGGGACAAAATACTGATGACTAAATTTAGAAAAAGTATGGAAGCCAGGATATAATAGAATTACATCTTAAAAGTGCAAAAGAAAAATAAAGAGAACATTGAAAATTTACAATTTTCTGATGTGTGGGGGGAAAACATTATAAATAAAATTAAAACAGGTATTTTTGGTTTCACACAGAGTGGCCATCTGGTTTACAGAAATTACCACCATTCCATCGAGAAAAAGTGGTCTTTCACTGAAGAGAGAGGATAGGAGGAGGGGGAGAGATGAAAAATCATCTGTCAGGTACAGTGTGCACAGGTGGGGGTGGAGGGTAACTAAGCCCAGACTTCTTCACCACTGTAAACTGCATCCATGTAAACAAAAATCATTTGTACTCCCCCAAAGCTATTAAAAGAAAATAATTTAAAAGAAAAGAAAAGGTGGCCTTTCAACAGCATTCTGTGTTCATATGGGAAAAAACATAATTTTACACTACACAAAAGCATTCACTCAAAGTAGAACTTAGTCCCAGTTTTGCCTGGTAAAATAAATTTTTTTGAGTCAGAGTCTCACTCAGACTAGAGTGCAGTGGCACACTCATAGACACCACAGACTCGACCTGCTAGGCTCAGGCAATCCTCTCGTATCAGCCTTCCAAGTAGCTGGGACTACAGGCATGCACCACCACGTTCAGCTAATTTTTTTATTTATTGTGGAGATGATGTTTCACCAAGTTGCCCAAGCTAGTCTCAAACCCCAGAGCTCAGGCAATTCTCCTGCCTTCACCACCCAAAGTGCTGGGATTACAGGAGTGAGACAGCATGCCCAGGCATAAAATAAGATTTTTAGAAAAACACATAATAAGTTACCTTCATGACTTTGAGCTTGAAAACAATTTCTTAAGCAAACACAAAAGGCATTTAAGCTGAAAATGATTGATAATTTTAATTTTGATAGAGAATCTCTCTTCATTTAAAGACAACATTAAGAATGTGAACGATTAAGCCACATAGAGAGAACATATTTCCAATGCATACATTTGACCTGGAATTCATTCCAGAATATAGAAAGAGCACTCATTAATCAATTTTAAAAAGACAAATAACCCAATAAAACAAGAGGCTAACCCAGCACATTAAGATAGCACATCACAACAGGAAGCCCAAACAGTCAAACATACCAAAAGGTGCTTAAATTATTTGTCATTAGGGAAACTCCCAGCTATATTGACCCAACTAGAATAACTAGAATTTAAAAGATCACAACATGACTTGTTGGTGAGAATGTGGGACAAGCAGATCATTGGACATTTCACAGGGGTAAAATCTGGCGAAGTCACTAGTGAACCCTTTTGCATTACCTACTAAAGCCAAACATACACATTCTCTATAACCCACTGATCTGCCTATCTACCAAAAAGTCTGTACAAGAATGTTCATAGTGGTTTTATTCACTATGAACAGTCACTGGAAACAGCCCAAATACTCAACAAAACAGCTCAGTGGATTCTGATACACCCACACGATGGGATATCATTTAGCAAAAAGAAAGAAACAAAAGACATTGGGGGGAAGAAAACCCAAAACCTGCTGCTGCACAAAACAGTATGAATGTCAGAAATGTTAAGCAAATGAAACTCTATTTAAAAAAAATAAAGATCCTGTGTGATGCCATCTATAGAAAGCCCGAGAACAGGAAAATAAGTTAAAAAAAAAAAAAAAAAAAAGTAAAGCATGGGAGGCCTGATCACTAGGAAACAGGATTCTACAAAGAAGATACCCTTGTTGACAATGTAGTTAATTGTCCAAAAAAGACTTGAGGCTAACAGGTATCAAGAGTATATTCTCCCAGAGAAAGAGAACTTTGGAGGCTCATCTCCAAGGGAAAAAAAAGTAGAAGATTCTTTTACCATACTAAAAAAATTGAGAAGTTGTTGGAAAATGTGAGGAGATTTCTCAATATAGAGATTAATCAAAGGAAATTAGATTTCTTTACAAAAAGAAATCCCAAAGGAAGAAATGAAATATTGAGTATTAAGTTGTACTTTTCTAAAATCCTAACAAATACTGCTGAAGTCTAGTTTCCCTGGAACTTTTATAAAAGCTTTTTTTTCTTTTTTTTTTAAGTCAGAATCTCACTCTATCACCCAGACTGGAGTGCAGTGGCAGGCTCATGGCCACCGCAGACTCAACCTACTGGGCTCAGACAATCCTTCAACCTCACCTTTCATGAACCTGGAACTACAGGCGTGCACCACCAAGCCCAGTTTTCTTGATTTATTGTAGAGACAAGGTCTCACCAAGTTGCCCAGGCTGGTCTGGAACCCCTGGGCTCATGCAATCCTTTCACCTTCACCTCCCAAAATGCTGGGATGACTGGTGTGAGTCACCATGCCTGGCTTATAAAAACACATTTTTAAAGTAGCTTTGTACGTTACATTGGTAAAACTTCTTCATTTTAATAGCGTGCTATTGTTTGGTAAGGTGTTACACCATGGGTGAAAGCTGGGTGATTGGTACATGGGACTTCTCTGTATTATTTTTGTAACTTCTTCTGAGTCCACAATAATCTTTAAACAACAACCAAAAAAACCCAATAATGACAAAGTCAAAAGGCTGATGCAGAAAGGCGTTTGCCAGAAAGGCATCAAGATACCCCTGAAGTCAGGCAGTGGCATCCACAGAAATGTTTGTCCACGGCCACTCCACACTGCAGGATGATTTTTGCCCAGTACAAGGTCCCTAGGCTGATTTGGGCAAATATCCAGCCCACTCTGTGTCAGCCAAGCTGACATACTCCCTCCCCTCCACCCCCCACCAGAATAGAAGCATCACTCTAATCTCTCCCAGAACACTTCAAAGGCTAGCACTGCTGACGTTTGAACCAGATAATTATCTGTTGTGGGCAGCAGTCCTGTGCACTGTCAGATTTCAGCAGCACCCCCAGTCTCCACCCACTGAATCCCAGTAGCACCCTCTCCATTCAGTGGTGACCATCAAAAACCTATTCAGACATGAACATCCCCTCAGGGACAAGATTTCCCCCTTTGAGAGCTACTGAGCTGGAGAGAACCTGATTCTGAAGACCCCCCCCTTCAATATCAAACTGAAGTCAATCAAGGGTCCAGCTGGCTTGCTCCAAAAGGCAACACTCCCAGTTACAAGATGTCTGCACTTAGCTCTGTTACCCAGTTCTTACCTTAATGTATAAAACCCCAGGCAGACAATTATGAAATGGGGCAACATACTGAGGAGTTTTGCAAAACCCCTGAGTAGAGAAAGTTACAGTAGAAGTTAATATGTACGTATATGTGTGTGTGTGTGTATACATACACATACAAACACATATACACGCCATGATATAGAAACAGCTTGAATGAGGAAACGGATCGACAGCAATTCTGTATGTTCAAACAACTTCTACGTGTAGAACCTGCCTCTTTCTCCTGATGAGTCTTGATGCATGAAATTAACCAAGGGTACTTAACCCTATCAATCACCCTTGCAATAGTTACTGCAAAGACACAGTGAACTGGGAGGGAGAGCATATTCCTTTGGGTTAGATGATTTTGCTTATTACTGCCTCCATGACTTCCTTGGGTTCTCTCTGTTGAAAACTGAATTGGCCTTGCCTAGAAATCACCCAGTCAGGATAGGGACAGCCCAGACATTATCAAGAAGAAGAACTCACTTTGGGCTAGTCACTTACCCTCTGGCTCAATGTCATCATCTGCCAAGTTATAAGACCATACTTACGATGATTCACATGTTTTTTGGTTTTATGTTTCTATAAATATCTTTAGAAAAACAACCTTGTCAACAAGGGTACCTGCATAATCAACGTTTTTATACCTAACGCTGAATTGTACCCCACATCTTTATAATTAAAAAAAATGAAAAAAAGAGAAAAAGATACCTGCACACATATGTTTATTGCAGCATTGTTCACAGTAGCAAGAACATGGAACCAATCATGCTGCCCATTGAAATAGGACTGGATTTTTTAAATGTGGTACATATACAAGACAGAATATTACATAAAGAAGGACAAAATTATGAAGTTCACAGCAACCTGGATGAACTTAGAATCTATAATACTGAGTGATCTATTGCAGAAACAAAGAGCTGAGTACCACATGTTCTCTCTTATAAGTGGACCTTGAGCAATTATCATAATACTATATAAAACAGATTGGCAGTAGTGGGAAACTGCTGGGAACGGGGGACACACCTCATCAACAAGGATACATGCATAATGAACATTTGTATACCTAACGCTGAATTGTACCCCACATCTTTAAATATTTTTAAAAAGAAAAAGAAAAACATGGAGCTCTAGCTTTTTGACCTGGTTGGCTGAGGGCAGGATGAAGAAGCATCAGGTAAGTTGCCCATGAGAAGTGAGCGAGTACTGGACATGGAAAAGGTGGAACAGACCTTCTGAGAAGAAGCCTTGCCCTTTACAATTCAGCCTCAATGTACCTGGAAAGGCTAAGAGTGAAGAAATGAAAACCCTGTATGGTGAAGGCTGAGGCAATGACCTCCCAGAAAGAAAACGGGCATGTTCAAACTGCAAAGATCATGACAGAAGAAGGTGCCACACGGCATAGACAGCACAGAGACTTACATCAGTTCCTCCACGATGCACATGGGATGCTTCAGGGTCTCACACAGGGACCTGACATTCATGTAGGACAGCGTGGTGCCGTACAGGCTCAGATATTTTAGGTGAGGGCTGTGAAGAACCACCTTAAACAAGTCTGAACTGTCAAACTCAGACATAAAAATAAACCTGCAACACATTTTTAAAATAACAATAAGAGTCATGTAATGAGATCCAAGCACAAAGCAAGATGCACATCTCAGCAAGACCCATGCTCAGCCTCACCACAATTTCCGGGATTCTGGTGACTCCCGCCCATAAATTATTTCTTGCTGGGATCTGCAGACACCGGACAAGAACAGAGGTTCAACCTGCTCGGTCTCTCCTGTTTCTTCCTAGTCCTCCCACCTCTAGATAATGACAAACTTCTTGCAAAGAAAATGAATAGACATATTCTGTATTAAATTCTAAGTCCCAGAAGGACAGGGACCAACCATGTCTGTACTTTGTGACTGAGATTAGTGCCTCCCATACAATAAAGAGGCACATATTTGAATTAATGCTACAGGCAAAACTGTGTTCCCCTCAAAATTACCCATTTTTATTTTTTAAAAACTAAGAGTTTGTTGTTATTGTTGTTGTTGCTGCTGTTGTTTTTTTTTTTTTTTTTTTAAGGAGACAGTATGCAGTGACTAAAGATTTAGGCTCCAGAGTTAAAGAAAACTGGATTTGAACTTTTCTTTTTCTCCCTGTTACTTTTACAAGATTGGACAAACTACCTAAACATTTTTCTGGTCCAGTTTCTCTGTGAAAAAAACAGATATCATTATGGTGATTAAGAAATCAGCACACAGCACTGAGGACCACATGTTCTTACTCATAAGTGGACCCTGAACATTGACCATCATAATATAAGAAAGGGATTGGCAGTAGCCAGAAACTGCCAGGGGAGAGAGAGGGGGCACATAATGTCAATAAGGATACCTGATCTCAAACCAGGCCAAGTGGGGACCAAAAGGAGGCCCAGATATTACCTGTATGATGACCATTTGTATACCTAATGCTGAATTATATCCCACATCTTTAAAATAAAATCAATTTTTTAAAAAAGAAAGAAATCAGCATTTATTGTGATCCCTGGGACATGGTCAATTCATGTTGGCTTTGCTGTCTCATTTCTATATGTATAAGCCACATATCTGTATTTATAAACCAGATATATATATGTCTATAAATGATATATATATCTATTATCCAGATAAATATGTATTCTTTAACCTCATATATTTCAATTTGAATACATGACACACAAAAATTGGATCTGAGGCTGGATGCAGTGATTCATGCCTATTATCCCAGCACTTTGGGAGGCCAAGGTGAGAGGATTGCCTGAGCCCAGGGGTTTGAGACCTGCCTGGGCAACTTGGCAAGACCTCATCGCTACAATAAATCAAAACATTAGCCGGGCATGGTGGCACATGCCTGTAGTTCCAGCTACTTGGAAGGCTGAGGTGGAAGGATCACCTGAGCTCAGCAGGATGAGGCTGCAGTGGCCATGAGCATGCCACTGCACTCCAGCCTGGGTGACAGAGTTAGACTCCAACTCAAAAAAAAAAAAAGAAAAAAAGATTGGATCTGAATTAACCCTTCCAGGTGAGTGATAGCTTCTGGAAGCAGAGTGGTGTTGGTGGAGATTGAGAGGAGTAGATTGATTCTTGGGTGATTGAGGGGTTGTAACCCAAGGAATTGCAGATTGATCAGTATATTCCAAACACACATATACCCAACAGTCCCTAAACCCTAAGTTTGGAGAGTTTTTAAAATTGAAGCCGAGGGAATGAGCCCTGGCTTCTAATTATTTATTTGCTTCAGCAACTGCATTTTTATCATTTTATATATTAATAAAATGGAAAGGAAAAACATTTCTCAATTTCAAGATGTATAGCTAAATACTTTTGAAGAGAAATGACCTAATTTATTATCTCTCTCACATCTGGCCAACTTAAAATGAATTCACAATAGCAAAATCATGGAACCAACCCAAGTGCCCATCAACGATTGACTGGATAAAGACAATGTGGTATATATCCACCATGGAATACTACACAGCCATAAAAAGGAACAAAATCATGTCCTTTACAGCAACAAGGATGGAGCTGGAGAACATCCTAAGCAAACTCACTCAGAAACAGAAAAGCAAGTACCATATATTCTCACTTATATGTGGGAGCCAAATGACCACAAAGATGAAAATAATAGACACTGAAAGTAGTAAAAGGGAGAAGGGGGAAAGGGAACTAGGGTTCAGAAGTTGTCTGTCAGGTACAATGTTCACCATCTGAGGAATGGACGGCCTGAAGCCCAATCCCTGCCAGTATACAATATGCTCATGTAACAAACGTGAACTTGTAACCCCTGAATCTAAAATAAACACAATTTTTTAAAGGAATCTGTGATCTAGGAACTGAGAGCTAAAGAACTTTAGGCAAAATATCCATGTTTTATTCTCATCGTCATTTACTGTGAAGAAGCACTGTTATCCTTTTGCAACCCAAGTTTCCTGGAAAAGACATGCACATTGTAATTCATGCCTTTACCCAGTTTTTTCCCGATTACTGTTGTTCCATCATTGACCCCATCTAAATATCAATGACAAATCTTATTACAAGACCACTTGTGACTTCTTCCTTGCTACTAGTTCCCAGTTCCCTACTTCAAAAAAAAGTCCACTTTTTATGCTCCATGTAGATATTTAAAAATTCATCTCTGAGTGAGTTTCCCTAAGTGAAATAAAGAAACCATTTGCAGAATGCATTCATTCCACAGATATTTGGTAAGCCTTCACAAATCTCTATATGAGGTCTGACAATTAGATGCATGAACCAGCCTAAAGACAGTGCTCCATTCCTCATTGCTGAATATCACTATGGTCATCCTTGAAGTACTTCCCTTGAGAAGCTGTGCACCCATGCCAGCATCTAGTCTACCCATTAAAGCAATTTTGGAACTCTTTTTCCGGAATGGCCATCAGAACTGTCGTTGTGCCGGGCTCGGTGGCTCAGCCTGTAATCCCGCGCCTTTGGGAGGCTGAAGTGAGTGGATTGCCTGAGCCCGTGGGTTCGAGACCCGCCTGGGCAGCAAGACCTCATCTCTACAATAAATCAAAAAATCAGCCGGGCGTGGTCGCCCGTCTGTAATTCCGGCTACTCATAAGGCTGAGGCGGAAGGATTGCCAGAGCCCAGCAGGTCGAGGCTGCGGTGGCCGGGAGCGGCCACTGCACTCCAGTCTGGGCGACAGAGTGGAACTCCAACTCAAAAGAAAAAAAAGAACTGTCGTTGTTTGTTAAGGTCTGACAATTAAGTTTTCAAACTTGCCACCATGCGCTTATGTGGGCAGCACTGTACAAATAACTGTATGGGAACACCCTCCCTACTCACCTGATCTGGCCCCCAATGACTTTTTTCTTTACCCAAGCATAAAGGACATATTGAAAGGAAGACATTTGATGACATTCAGGACATCAAAGGTAATACAATGATGGATCTGACGGCCATTCCAGAAAAGAGTTCCAAAATTGCTTTGACAGGTGAACTAGGTGCTGGCATGGGTGCATGACTTCCCAAGGGGAGTACTTCAAAGGTAACCATAGTGATATTCAGCAATGAGGTATGGAGCACATTTTCTAGGATGAGTTCACAGGTTTGTCAGACCATGTATTTTGCTAGATGCTGGGAATATGAGGGTTACCAATAAAAATGTCATATCTCCAACCAGGGTAGTTTAATCAGCAGAGAAAACACTGTGTTCCCCAAGATTACTCTTAACTTTGGTGACTTGCTAGGAGGTCTCACAAGACTTGCAATATAGTCATGCAACAGCTGTAACGTATTACAGCAAGAGCATGCAAAGGAAAATCAGCAGAGGGAAAAAGAATAGAGGAAAAATCCAGACGAAACCAGGCATAAGCTTCCAAGAGTCCACTCCCAGTGGAGCCACCAGGATATGATAAATTTCTCCAGCAACAAATTGTGGCAACACATATGAAGCATAGCCTACCAGGGAAACTCACTAAAGACTCGGTTTCCCAGGGTTTTTATTGGGGCTGGTCACATAGGCACCCTCTGCCTAGCATGTGACAAAATTCAAACTCACCAAAGGAAACCAGGCATTCAGCATAAACCATTCCAGGAACAGTTGAGGCAGGGAGTTCTCCCCCCCCAAGCCTAATAAGATAAAACACTTCCCAGGACAGAGTACACCCCCTTAGTACAGTAAGATAAAAGTCTTCCCAAAATAATAAAAGAGTCCTTCTAGCACCATAAGATAAGAACTTTCTTGGAAGATCTGTGTTAGAAAGGAACGTAGCCCCAATCTGTGGTCCGCATGTGTAACTCTGCTGTCACCTTGAGCTGAGAAATACCCAAGTAGTCTGTATGATACTAATATGTAAGCCTTATTGGGGGGACAAAGAAGCTAAAAATGTATAAAAGGCAATGAATGTGAATCCACTGAGCCAGTCCTAGCACAAGTAAAACTTCTTCCTGGCCTCATGTCCCGATTCTGTCTATAAAATCCTGCCACACAGTGAACAATTCTCATCCATTAGCGTGGTGGGAATTTTCCCAAAATCCAAGTTTCAAGACACCAGCCAAGGGACAACCTACCAAGCAGGCCTTTCTAGAGATGGCGGCCTTAAGCCTGCCATGTTAACAATTTTCTGCACAAATATGGTGGCCAATAATTAGACATGCAATGACTGTTACCAAGAAAGCAAGTATAAAATACTCTGGGAGCACAGAGAGTCTTCCACAAAGAAGTGACCTTTAAGCTAAAGGAAGGCTTAAATTTAACCTTAACGTAAAAGGTTGTAGTAGTAAAGAGGAGAGCATGGCCCAGGCAAATGAGGATAAGTAAAATGTCAGGGAATGACTGTGGTTCTCTATTCTTCTGGTAGATAAATGAAGGTAATAATAGTAAAATATTATGGGGCTTTAAAAAGTGAAGAAAATATTGTGCATAAAGCAATGAGCTCTCTCCTAAAGAAATTTCTCATTAATTCTACTTATTCTTGGCTGGACTTGGTGGCTCAGCCTGAAGTTCCAGCACTTTGGGAGGCCGAGGCAAGTGGATTACCTGAGCCTGCAGGTTTGAGACCAGCCTGGGCAACTTGGGGAGATCTCATCTCTACAATAAATAAAAAAATAAATGGTTCATTCCTATAATCCCCGCACTTTGGGAGGCCGAGATGAGAGGATTGCCTGAGCCCACGGGTTTGAGACCAGCCTGGGCAACTTGGCAAGACCTCATCTCTACAATAAAAAAGAAATTAGCTGGACACAGTAGCTCATGCCTGTAATTCCAGCTACTTGGAAGACTGAGGCAGAAGGATCACCGGAGCCCAGCAGGTCGACACTGGGTGGCCGTGAATGTGCCACTGCACTCCAGTCTGGACAATGGAGTGAGACTCCAACTCAAAAAACAAAATTCTACTTATTCTCTGTGGTTATTTTTATTGTTTTTCTCTTTTACAAATGTAAAACTATTTTCTATCTACCCTCAGCACTCTCCTTCTTTACCTTGGAAACACTTATTCTTCATTCATCAACATTCAAGCGCATATCACCTTGGAGCAGGACTAGCTCCCTCTTCAGTTCTCCAACTAGATTTTGTGTGTCACTATGCTTAACATGTTGGATGGCAGGTCTGCATTTATGGCCTTGTCTTCTTCCAAAAGGGCAGAGTAGAGAGACGACAACTCTGCTGCTTACTTAAATGATAGATCAGTATCAAACTTACATGAGTTTTTGGAGTTTACAAATGGGCTGAGCCAGTGCTTTACAAAGAATCACCAGGGAGGCATCATCGAAGTGACTGTTTTCCACATCTAACATCTCGAGGTTCTTGTTGGTTCTGAACACTGAGCAAAGTTCCCGCCAGTATCTGAGCTTCTCACTGCGACTGTGAGAGAACAAAGACTGAGATTCTCTAGTGGCTAAATTCAATTCAAGACATTCTCAAAACAGGCAGAAGACCATGCCCAAAGACCCTTGAAGCTGATGGACACCCAGGGAAAGGGTCAGTCGGGTAAACTGAGTCAACATGGCACAGTGGATCAGAAAGTGAGACAAGAGTAATTGGAATGAATTTCTAGCATAATTCATTAGCTATGTGACTTTGGACAAGCTATTTAACCTTATTCTACCTCCATGTATTCCTCTTTTAGATGAGAATACGGGTATGTGTGTTCACAAGGGTTGACTTCGTTGACCTCCCCTCCTCAGAGAACAGGGACTTGTACCTAAAAACTTTATCATGAAAGGCGGGATATATTTGAGAGCTAAAGTATGGGCTGGTCATTTGAACCTGATGAAAGAATACAAGGCAAAATTAGCAAAAGGGAAAGGCACATGGAAAAAAATTCCAGATGAAAGTGGGCACAAGTTTTCCAGTCTCCTTCCTGCAGGGTCATCGGGACATGCTAACATGCTATGAGTGGGAGGAAGCAACATCGTGATGATAATAAAACTGTCTGTCTTTTAACCTCACATTGGCCCTATAAAGTAGATAAAAGTTGATAGGAAAAGTTCAGGAAGTTGTTGCTTACAGTCACACAAGTGACAGATGGCAATGCAGGGGCTCAAGAGAAAGGCTTTTCAACCACAACACTCATACTCTTAAGCACAAAAGCATAAGGACCCATGGAGTGCTCATCGGACACCAGTGCTCATTACCAGTCCAGTGGGTGGAAGAGGGGATTAATAGGTGGACTCACTCTGAGATACATCCGAAGTCATCTGAAAAGCTTCTCTCTATACACAGGCGAAGTTTCTTCAAATTTTGACAGTGCTTCATGCAGAATGTAGATGTTACCAAGTGATGCATGGTGCCGATATAAACGAAAACTTCTTCAAAGAAACCCATCACTTGTGCTACAAATTCTTTCTCCTGGGTTTCAAATAAACCATTGAACAGTTCCTGGAAATTGATTGCTTCCTCGTCAAGTTCACACTGACTTAAATTTTTAAGGCACTGAGTTATTTCCTGCTTTATGTCTTTTGACAATAGAAAGCCAAGGGATGCTTCCAGGGTGTGGATGATTTTTCCCGTTGAAATTCCAAACACAAATATCCCCATCTGGATCAAATGGGTTTGGACTTGGGCCATACTTGCTGTCACAAGCTGTGTTAAACTTCCAATGGCCGGGTTAGGAGTGTCTTTGGGTCGTCTGAACAAATAAAACATGGCAGCACAAAACACTTGGATACACACGTGGACAAAGGAAAAACGGTCACCATTCCTTTGGAGAAGGCTTATGCCCAACCACATCAAGACATCAGATTCAGATATTCCATTCCTCTGGAGATCCCCGTGACTAAATACAAATGTCTGAGTCCATAGTCCCTCTGCAGCCAGAGCACACAGGTTTTTTATGTGAACTCTGTTGAGTTTATTGGGATACTTCTCATTTCCTGCTTTGAATACATTTGTTAAAAAGGATACATACAAAGAGCTGGTGGTTTGGGCATCAATTTCAATGTCTTCTCCCCTGTCTAGTTGGCATTTCATACAAGTACAAACCAACCAGCACACAAAAGGACTTTGGCACATGAAAAAGAGATATGAAATATCTTTCACAAAATTAAAGACTTTCCAGGCTCTATTCCTCTCATGGAAGAAGTGGAAGAAATACATCTTTCGTTCGTGTTCAGAGAATCCCAAAAGTCTTATAAGTTTTGGATGCTGCAACAAGAGAAAGTTTTTTTGGATAGTCATTTTTCCAAGTGCAATAAGTAGAGAGGAGTCCGGAAGCATCTTTCTCTGCAGCAAACTGCTCAGGATAATTTGGGTTGACTGCTTCTGCCTCCAGTCATTGCACAAGTTAGTCCTAAGTTCCAAGTCAAAATTCAGTTCCTCAAAGCCATCCACAATGAACAAGATTCCCTCTTGCTGGGAAAGAATGTCATCCATGGTCTCTGAAGTCTCAGGCCAGTCCCTGGAGAGGAGCTCCACTAAGCTCGTCTCTGTGATACGGTTTGTTTCATAGACATTGAGGAAGAAAACAAAGGAGAACCTGTCCTTCCAGATGTTTCCCTCTGCCCATTCTAGCATCACTTTTCTTAAGAGTGTTGTTTTTCCAATCCCTTCAGGACCTTCCAAAACCACAGTGAGTGGGGTGGCCTCCTTGGCAGTGTAAGCATCATTCAGTTCTTTATATTCATTCTTGATGGTTTCTCTGTAGAAATGCTCAGGGACTTGAAGACAGGTTTCCTTCTCCCATATGAGACTAAATTTTTCCCTCATGTGCTTTCGATATGGGTTCAACTTATCTGAGTTAATGAGAACAGAACATAAGACAATTAACAATACACTCATTCTTTTGCACTCCTCAGAACTGCTCCTACTAATTTACTTGAACATGCATACAAAGACTGATGTACAAGGGAGGACCCCAAAAAAACCCGGAGTTATCTTTTTGGAGGGTGGACCCCTTGTATTACAGACCTCCCCTGCCAGAAAAGTATTCTAGGAACACATCGGCATCCGTGGACCAGCTAGTATTATCGTAATTGGCTGCATTTGGCTTCCGTGAATATTTTTGGAGAGTCTTTTAACATATTTGCCCATTTTGTGATAATTTATGAATGCACCTGCCAACACTGTGCTGAGTGTTCAGTAGTTTTTGACCAAAAACGGTATGAACTCCCCCCATGTCCCAACCTCCCTATTCACCTGACCTCAATCCAAGTGACTTTTTCTTTGTTTCCCTGGATGAAAAAAGTCCTCAAAGGAAAACTTTTTTGCCAGTGTGCAAGAGGTGAAACAAAAAACAACAGAACTGCTAAAAGGCATCAAAATGGACACGTTCAAAACTGTTTTGAACAGTGGGAAAAGCATCTTGATAGGTGTATTGCATTAAACGGAGAGTACTTTGAAGGTGACTGAAACTTAAGCATGTAAGAATGTACAATTTTGTATAAGTAAATCTGTTTTGGGGGGTGTTCCCCCTCATATACTTCTGAATGACCAGGCTGATTAACCTAGTTTTGTGAGGACCACAACCTATTTCAAATCATGTTCATGGAAGCACATGACCAAAACTGGAAACCTACCTCAGAGTAACAGGTTACTGCAAGGTGTGAATATTTGGTTTCCAAATTGGAAAAGAGAATGGCATCTCCCCAGCAAAGAATCCATACACATAGATGTTTCCTGAGGGTTTGCCAGGGGTCAGGCTGAGAATGTTACTACTAATTCTGCATATATTATCTCCCCAACAATTCAAAATTCATTCTGCTTCTGCTTTACAAAAAAGTACTGAGAGAGTTTGTGTGGCTTAACTGCTTTCGACTGATGAATAAATATTAGGGGCCAGGAACCTATCCCTTATTTCTCTGACTTGAAAGTGTAAGGTCTAGGTTATCTCTATTACAACATGCTGACTGTACTTAATTTCAGAAATGCACCCCTAAACCATTATTCTGTCAACTTGCTTTTACTGCAAACCTTCCATGCTCAAAGCAACAAAGCTGAGGAGGTTTAAAAAAATGACAAATATAGACGAAGACCATACCTTGAAGAAATATGCAATGCAGTAGGTGAGCTAAGACAGATTTGCTGATAATTAAAACACAGGGCAAACTGTAACAGGACCCAAAGATGCCTCTCAGGAAAAAAAATCGGCCCAATTACTCCAATGAAGTATTTAATAAGGACTCTCCACACAAAAGAGCATTACATGTGGCCTTGCAGCACACTGGGATTAGGGGAAATTCAGATGAGAAAGTAAACCCTAGGGAGCTGAGGCTCAATTCCTTGCTTCCTTTAAGAACTCATTTCTAGTGTATTACATGCGAGGATAATTAGGGTTATTTCTAAAAGGCAACTTTTTTTTTTCAGTTAGAGTCTCACTCTGTTGCCCAGGCTGGAGTGCAATGGCACACTCACGGTCACCCCAGCATCGACCCACTGGTCTCTGGCAGTCCTTCCACCTCAGCCTTCCAAGTAGCCAGAACTACAGGCTAATTTTTTATTTGTTGTAGAGACGAGGTCGCACCAAGTTGCCTGGGTTGGTCTCGAACCCACAGGCTCAGGCAGTCCATTCACCTCGGCCTCCCAAAGTGCTGGGATGACAGGCTGAGCAACCAACCCTGGCCTTTTTTTTTTTTAAATCAGGGTCTCATTCTGTTGCTCAGTCTGGAGTGCAGTGGCATGATATGGCTTACTGCAGACTCAAACTCCTGGGTTGAAGTCATATTCCCACCTCAGCCTCCCAAGTAGCTGGGACTACAGGTGCATGCCACCACATCTGGCTAATTTTTTTTTGAAAGATAAGGTCTCACTTTGTTGCCTAGGCTGGTCTCGAATTCCTGGGTGCAAGGGATCCTCCCACTTCGGCCTCTCAAAGTGCTGGGATTACAGGGATAAGCCATCATACTCAGCCTAGAAGGAAGATTTGACGATGGCAAGACAAGTCTAGCTACCGTCCATGAGTCCCTAGTACTTATCCTGCTTTTCTTCTTAACACAGGACTGAGGGGTTTTCAAAATACTCCCTAGTCACTCTCTAAAGGGACATCTTTCAGCTATAACATGCCACATTCTTTCAAGCTTCCTTGTATATTTTTAAGTCTCTTCTGCTTGGGCATATTCCATCCCTGCCGATAAGAAGTTACAGTTCCTTTTTTCTTTTTTTAACTGGGTATTTTTTTGTTTTGTTTCATTTTTTTTTTCTTCTTTCAGGTTCAAGAGGTACACGGGCATGTTCATTACATGGACATACTGTGTAGTGATGGGGATTGGGTCTCAGGTGGCCCAATCTGCAGACAGTGAACATTATACCCCACAGGTAATTTCCAAACCCTAACCACCTCCTGGGGGAACCAATCAGGGGGAAGTCCCATTTTCTAGCCCTTCTCCCCTTGCTGTGTGGGGATGTGACCACCTGTGGCCCTGCGACTGAATTCCAGCCAACGGACTGTGAGCCCAAGTGACTCATATCTTTGCCAGGCCTTGCCCATAAACATTTTCTAGGCACAATCCCTATGCTGTCTTCCCTGACACAGGTTTAATGCAGATAACCCAACAATCAGGACAGTCATGAGCTAGAAACAGAAGAGCAAAAAAGATGGAAGGGGCCACAGCCTTTGGCTCATCTCTGGGCAGCAGGTGACTCACACCAGGAGGGATACTCACCACAGAGTTCCTGTGCCCTAAAACACACTCTTACCTTGTTCATCTCATTAATCTACTTCATTACAGTCAACAGCATTGCAGAAACTGAGATCAGTGTTTCTGCCACCCAACGGCTAGAGACAAAATCCTATTCTATCTTCTAGCCTTAGTCACCTTGGCCTTCCTTATACAACAGGACAGAAGCAAAGCGCTTATCTCTTTCTTTTATTCTTCAATGGAAGTTCACGAATTACTCCTAAAATATCAGCGGCTTCCATGTCTCTTGATAACTGTCTCTCTTAGGATAGTGATTATCAAGAACAAAGGCTGCATTTTTTTTAATCTGGCATTTGCAGTGGGCAGCTGTATCTGGCTGAAAGTTAAGACAAACCATCAGAATTTGACCAGGTATGGTGGCTCACCCTTGTAATCCCAGCACTTTGGGAGGCTGAGGCAGGAGGATTGCTTGAGCCCAGGAGTTTGAGACCAGCCTGGGTAGCATAGTGAAACCTCATCTCTATTTTAAAAAATCAGAAAAATTAGCCAGTCATAGTGACACCTGCCTGTAGTCCCAGCTACTTGGAAGGCTGAGGTGGGAGGATGACCTGAGCCCAGCAGGTTGAGGCTGTGGTGAGCTGGGATTGTCCCACTGTACTTGAGCCTGGGTGACAGAGGGAAACCTTGGCTCAAAAAAAGGAAAAAGAGGGAAAAAAGTAAGAATTTAACTGCATTCATTGCTTCTCCAGTCTGTCTTGTCTACGTGACCATCTCCTGTTTATGCATTCTCTTTCATTAAACAGCTGATAGGAAGTCACCTATCTGCACAGTGCATATTTTATGCAGCTTATCTAATGAGTGAAGAGAAATAAGGAACAGAGAAGAATTAAAATCCTGGTCATGGTCGGGCACAGTGGCTCACACCTAAAATCCCAGCACTTTGGGAGGCCGAGGCAAGAGGATTGCCCGAGCCCATGGGTTCAAGACCAACCTGGGCAACATGGTGAGACCTCGTCTCTATAATAAATCAAAAAATTAGCCAGGCATGGTAGCACATGCCTATAGTTTCGGTTACTTGGAATGCTGAAGCGGAAGATCTCCTGAGCCCAGCAGGTCAAGGCTGGGGTGGTCGGAGGCATGCCACTACACTCCAGCCTAGGTGACAGAGTGAGACTCCAACTCAAATAAAATAAAATAAATAAAATCCTGGTCATAATCTGAATTTTCAACTTTCAGACAAAACTCGGATCCTGGGAAGGGACTAAATGGATGCAAACCACAAAGGGACTACAGGTCACACATGTGTCAAGACAAGGACAGCTGCCTTGAGGGCCTTGGCTCTCCTGGTGCTTGAGGCTGAGAATGGCACAAGAGGGTCATGGTGTCCCCTTCTATCTCCACCGTGTGCCTTAAATGCTACACACGAGTCACCCAAGGCTCTGAACAATGTTACCAAGTTAGCACTGCAAAACTGTCTCAGATGTAATACAGACAAACAGAAAGAAGACAAAGCCATTCTAAATTTTCATCAACATATATAATCATGGTTTCAAGTCTGTTGTGTCTGTATGATTTAGGCTTTTCTTCTGCCTGATGTTTCATTCTATGATGGAATTACATGGCAAGTCCTATTTTGGAACATGGTGTCTGACTGAACAACACAGGATGGACATATTTCCAAATTCATGCATATTTTTCATTGTAAAATCTTATGCTATTTCATTGGGTGGACCTAGCATTATCTCATTCATTTGCCATATTTTTTAGATTAGAAGATATAGTTTATTTAGAAAGTAAATTAGAGAACGAGAGAGATTCACCTCCCCAAGGTAGGGGAGGGAGCCGAAGTTAGGAAACATGGTGACCACAGCTCAAGGAGCTACATGATCAGACCACAGCTTAGCAAAGCAATGGTGAATGGAGAGAGAGGGGGAGAGGAGGAGAGGTGGAGAGGAGGAGAGGAGATTCACCTCCCCAAGGTAGGGGAGGGGCCCAAAGCCAAGAAACATGGCAGCCATAGTTCAAAGAGCCATGTGGACACACCAGAGTTCAAAGCAATCGCCCATTTGCTATATTTGTACATGATCTTTGCTGACAGCCAAAGTTTGAGACAAAATTCATAGACAAGGTTATTTAAAACTGATCATTTATAATTATTCACAGTGTATCTATTGTGTACCAGAAATATGGGTATCTGGGATATAGTAAATGAAACACAAGTTGGTAGAACTCAAAGTAGAGGAAGAAGATAACTATCATATCAGAAACAAAGACCAAACTGCAAGATACCCAACAGAAAACATGGTTAGTTTTTCCTAAGTGTCCCCCCTGGGGGAGCATGTCAAATCCATCAGCAAGTCGATCCGAACTGGTTTAGAGTCAGAGCTATCATTTTGGAAGTCATTTAGCATAAAGGAACATGACTGGCCCACAGTTTCTCATTTGTAAACCTTTGCTGAGGTGTGATGGGAATGAAAAATCATGGTACGCAAAGAAAACATTGTGCATTCCTATAGAGCCAAGGACATAAGCATTCTATAATTTTTATAAGAATATTTGTGGAAGAATTCCGGTGCAGACATGATATTTTATGATATTACAGGCTACTCTTCAGGGAAGATGATACAATTTTTCTTTTTCGTTGTTGTTGAGTTGGAGTCATACTCTGTTGCCCAAGCTGGAGTGCAGTGGCATGCTCACAGCCACCACAGTCTCCCTGCTGGGCTCAAGTGATCCTTCTGCCTCAGCCTTCCAAGTAGCTGAACTACAGGCATGCACCACCATACCCAGCTAATTTTTGATTTATTGCAGAGACGAGGTCTCACCAGGTTGTCCAGGCTGGTCTCAAACCTTTGGGCTCAGGCAATCCTCTCACCTTGGCCTCCCAAAGTGCTGGGATTACAGGCTTGAGCCACCACACCCAGCTAAGGTTTCATTTTAACTCTGTAAGTATGATACATTATGTTAATGGGTTCCTAATATTGAACTACACTTGCAGTATGAAACGCGATTTGCTTATTCTAAGAGAAAGCAATGAAAGATATTAAATAAGTATGTATAAACGACACCACCAACTACCAAAGAATAAAACATCAATGAGAAAGCATATACATAGTTCAGAACTAAACTCAAATTATAATTTTTTTAAGAATAAGGATCTGCCTGAAAACTGGACACTTCTGGGGGACAGAGGGACAGAGAGGGGAGGGAAGGGGCACGTGGCAACACACCGGGCACATGGTCCACTATTGGGGTGAGAGGGCCTGTGAGAAGCCCAAACCTCATCAGCATGCAGCTTACTGAGGTAGTAAATCCTCACTTGTGCCCCATAACACTAAAATAAAATTATAAAGAAAGAAAGAAGTTATGGGGCAGAATCTAAACATGAAGGAAGATGAGTGAATCCAGAACAATCCAGAACAAAGTCACAGCCCAGCCACACCCATGGAAATAAACAGCTGGAAGAAGTTAAAATAAATAGTAAATTTGGGATTCAAAAACAAACAAACAAAAAAGATTTGGCCTAGTCCCTGGCACATGTCTGGTCCAAGGACAGTCAACTGACATACTGGAACTCCATAACACAGACACTAATTCCAAGGTTGTCTCCTGCAGTAGAAGTAACTCAGCGTGGGACAGAAACACGGGAAGACAGTCCTTAGACAAATAGTATGTATCAGGGTCCTGTCCATCTCCAGTTCACCACTGGTCCACATCCAACCTTGGCTTGCCATTCTTGTTTGTTTGTTTGTTTGTTTTAGAGTCTCCCGGGCTGGAGTGCAGTGGCCCACTCACAGCCACCCCAGTCTTGACCTGCTGGGCTCAGGCAATCCTTCTGCCTCAGCCTTCCAAGTAGCTAAAACTATAGGCAAGTGCTATCATGCCCAGCTTATTTTTTGATTTATTGTAAAGATGAGGTCTCACCAAGTTCCCCAGGCTGTTCTGAGACCCCTGAGCTTAGGCAATCCTCTCGCCTTGGCATTCTTAATACCCCCGAGGCTCACCTTGACCCACAGCACCTTCTCAGGTGAGGGAGGAGGTGGCCACTTATGATATCACCTTCATGAGCAGAAGCCCCCAGGAAACCAGCCTTCCCCCACGGGTTCCTCCCCACAAAACACAAACACAAACACACCTCTCATCTCTTCCTGAGCCTTTGTCCAGAGATCTCTCCGATTGATCTGTAGAAATAGGCTCAAGGTCACCTCCCATGCCTGTTTTTCTGGATAAATCTTGCCCAACAGCTTAGCCAGATCTTCTCTTGAAGCCTTCTTTAGCTCACTCCAGGGGATTGGCTTGAGTTCAAATTTCTGAGGTTCTTGCCGGAGGAGTTCCTTAAATTTCCAAAACTCTTCCTTTCTGAGCTCCTCCAGGTACCACAGCAAGCCAAAGTCAGAAAAAAAAGATTCAGCCATCTCTTCTCCAGATTTCTCCAAAGGAAAAAAAAAAACTTCAAAAACAAAGGATAAGGGATACCTAGAGAAGATGATATGATTACAGAGTTAGGTCTAAGCAGTTTAATGTGACTTGAAATTATGGATATCAGGCACATCTGTGTCAAACACCATCTGGGGAAGTGGCTTAATCCTTCAACTTTCCACACAAGGGTGTATGAATTCAACACTGGCAACTAAAAATGTGGTTTATGCCAACTCCGATGTCAGAGATAACCATAACTAGATAACAAGACTAAATCTTTGAGGTTTATCAGTGGAGCCGAGAAAGGAAAAGTGAGGTTATTTCGATACTTGTCCCCTTTACTGTGTGTCTCTTGGGACACTTCCAAAAAGAGTTGAACATTGACTTGTGTCATTGTGGGAATGTCTATCTGAAGTTCAAAAGACCACGTACACTGACCATTCTTTGAAGGAGAACAGTTTCTAGTCTAGCTTGACTAAGTAATCAACATTTGTTTTAAAAATAGAAAACCTGGCCAGACGCAGTGGCACAAACCTGTAATCCCAGCACTTTGGAGGCCGAGGCAAGAGGACTGCCTGAGCCCACGGGTTTTAGACTAGCCTGGGCAACTTGGTGAGACCTCGTCTCTACAATAAATCAAAACATTAGCCAGGCGTGGTGGTGTGTGGCTGTTGTTCCAGCTACTTGGAAGGCTGAGGTAGAAGGATTGCCTGAGCCCAGCAGGTTGAGGTTGCAGTGGCCATGATTGTGCCACTGCACTCCAGTCTGGGCAACAGAGTGAGACTCCAACTGAAAAAAAAAATAAATAGAAAACCTAAGGAGGTGTGTCTTTATTGCTTGAAACTTTTGTGAATCCCTGAAAGATGCAAGCCACAGAGCTGTGACCAAAAACAAAATTTCAAATTTCAAAAGTAAAGCAGGAAAAGACAAATCCAGGGAACTCTAGCTTAGATCATGTGGACCTGAGAGAAAGGCGGGGCTCTGGGTATCTAATCATTTTAGTAATGGGTCAGGGAAGCACATTTTAAACAGCACTACAGGTCAGCATGCGGCATAATGGGAAAAGATAGGAGGGACGAGAAATTTAGTTCTAGCATTTACAAAAAGCCCCACATCCATCTAATTAAAGTTTCAGAAGGAAAGACATAATTTATAAAACAAAGCTTTTTGGATATGGATAAAAAGATTCACATCTTTAAGCTAATAGACCCTGCTGAGTCTTAAGGAATAGGAAAGATAAAAGATCACATCAAGTTTAACTTTCATAATTTCAAAAACAAATAAGAAAAGTCTAGAGTCTACCTGAGCACTGTCCACAATTACAACATAATGGAAGCCATGTTTGTATTTTATAAATCTGAGGGTAGTCACATTTTAAGTGGGAATATTTTATATATTTTGTTACATATTGTATATATTATATTTTGTATATGTATATATAAAGTATTTTGTGTGTTTATAAAATATATATAATATATTTATCAATACATGGGAAATATATTTTAATAGTATATTATTTAACCCAATATATCTAAAATATCAATTCAACATGTAAGCAATATATTTTTGTAAACAATATATTACCTTGTTTAATCCAGTGTATATACTAACAAAAAGGGGTGCTGTTTAACTTAATAACTGCCAGAGCACACATTACCAAATAGTGAACTGAATGTAATTTTTTTGTCTACAAGAAAATGAGCATCAGTTTGTAAGAATCCTTAAGGATAACACTGAATACAAGTTGGCAGTGCAAAGAAAAACTCTGCGTTCTATTCACAACAGCAAAAACATGCAACAAACCATGCTGCCCATCCAAGCTGGACTGGACCAAAAAAATGTGGTACATATACGTAATGGAATATTATGCAGCCATAAAGAAAGACAAATATATAGACTTCACAGCAACTTGGATGGATTTAGAGTCGATCATATTCAGTGATCTAGCACAGAAACAAAGAACAGAGTACCATATGTTCTCACTCCTAAGCAGACCTTGAACAGTTATACTACTATGAGAAAGGGATTGGCAGTAGAAACTGTCAGGGTAAAGGGGAGTCCACAACTCATCAACAAGGGTGCCTGCATAATGAACATTTGTACGCCTAACCCTTAATTGTACCCCCACATCTTTAAAATAAAGAAAAAAAATTAAAACTCTACAAAGAATTTACAGTAAATAAGTATTGACCTTTGCTTCCATTCCAAGTGGTATCTTTCACTCAAACACAAGAGAATAATAAACCACTTCGGACATGAAAACATTCACTGTTTACCATCCATAAATCCTCCCCGAGTCACTGGAGGATATACTCAAAAAAAATTAATGAAATCTGCTCACGTGGAGAATAATTGGTACCAGAGACTGGGAAGAGTGTGTATGGCTGGGGGAAAAGAGAAGTTCTTTAATGGGTACAAAATACAGTGAGATGAAAAAGCTAAGTTCTAGTGTTTGAGAGCAGAGAAGGGTGACTATAGTTAATAACAATGTAGAGAGTTTTCAAAATGGCTAGAAGAGAGAACTTGATATGTTTCCAACACGTAAAAATTATAAATACTTGGGTGATGGATACCCTAAGTACCCTGACTTGATCACTACACATTCTATAACACTATAAATTTGCAGAAATACAATGTATCCCAAAAAAGTTCTCATGAAAAAACAATACATAGTGGGGAACAGAGGAAAAAAACAACTAACTTCCATTCGATTTGTAGTTATAAGACATTATAAAACAAAAAGCAAATAAAATCAGCACATCATTTATTGAACTGAAAGCTAATCCAATGTGACCACAACCAGGCCAAGAAAGAAATTCCAATCCATGTTCCCCTCACCCCGTGGCAACACCCTCCCCTTAAGAGATTGCTACTACCCCATACTCACTTTGTGAATTTCACTATGTAACCTTACAACTTAGATTGCATTCTAAACAATGTAACTTAATACCATACAGTGATATTTTAAAAATGAAATGATAAAGTCTTTTGTATCTGGTCTTTGGTACTTGATTTCTAATATTATTTCATGTTTCACATAGTTATAAGTGGTTCATTTATGTTGGCATATAGTATTCCAACTGTTACTATTCCATAGTTTATTAATGCTACAGTTGACTGGCACATAAGCTTCTCTTGTATTTTTTCTTGTTGTCAGTGGCGGTAGTGTTTTGAGTCAGGGTCTCACTCTGTCGCCCAGGCTGCATTGCGGTGACACAATCATGGCTCACCACAGCCTTGACTTCCTGGGCTCAGGCAATCCTTCCACCTCAGCCTCCTGAGTCACTGGTACTACAGGTGCATGCCACCACACCCAGATAATTTTTTAATTTTTTGTAGAGACAGGGTCTTGCTATGTTGCCCAGGCTGATCTTGAACTCTTGAGCTCAAGTAACTCTCCCACTTTGGCCTCCCAAAGTGCTGGGATTACAGGCATGAGCCACTGTGCCCGGCCTGTTTCTCTTGTTTTTGTCTAACATAAATGATACTTACATGAATGAGCTTTTATGTGTAGGCTGGTGCATATAAGCACACATTTCTCTGGATGTATAATTATATGTCATAACATAGACAGATCACCACATTTACTACATAAAGCCCAACAATTTTTCCCTTGTAGATACACTAATTTACATTCCCACCAACACCGTATGAGCATTTCTTTCCTCTGCAAATCTGCTTATACTTAATATACCTTAATCCAATTTTGCTGATGCAAAAATTAAACTGACATTAAAATTGCAAGTGATCTCATTCTAGGAGACAAAAACAAAGAGGTGGGAGAGGATATCAAAGCATGTGTAAATTTTTTGTTTTGTTTAGAGGGGTTATGACTCCTTATTAAAGTATATAAGAAAAAGGATATATTTAAATAAGGTAATATTTGACGACTAGCAATTGTAAGAACAGAAGCAGAGTATTTAACTTCCTTATCATTAGAAACCTGCCAGACAGACTTCTGAAAGAACTAGAAATTGACCTTCCATAGGACCCAGCAATTCACCTATTGGGAATATACCCAGAGGAACTCAAATCATTCTACAAAAAAGATACCTGCCCATATATGTTTCTTGCAGCTCTATTCACAATTGTAAAAACATGGAACCAACCATGCTACCCATCGAAGCTGGAATGGATTTTTAAAATGTGATACATATACACGATGGAATATTATGCAGCCATAAAGAAGGACAAACATATGGACTTCGCAGTAACTTGAATGGATTTAGAGTCAATCATACTCAGTGATCTATCACAGAGTATCATATGTTCTCACTCATAAGCAGACCTTGAACAATTATCATAATACTATAAGAAAAGGATTGGGAGTAGTGGGAACCTGTCACAGGGGAGGGATGGGGTTGGCAGTTGAAGGAAACTACTAGGGGAGGGAGGGGCACACCTCATCAACAAGGGTACCTGCATAATCAACATTTGTATACCTAACCCTGGATTTTACCCCACATCTTTATAATAAAAAAAGAAGGGGAAAAAAAGACAATGCCTGTGCTGTCATCATTAGGTTTTTGCTGGCTTAAGAAAAACCAAGATTTAAAAGAATTTAGATTTTTCATCCATGTAACTTTCTGTGTTGCTTTTAAAGTTTTTTGATGATCACTTTGGTTTAATGAATAACTGCTGTTTTTACAATGACCTGTGATTGTTTTGATGTTCTGAACCTCTTAATATCTTTGACAAATGTGCTATTAATTCATCCTTGTGCTGTTAGGTTGCAGGACTTTGGCTCCTGGGTCTGAAAAAGGCAGTGATTCCTGCTAAATCACATCAGCCAGAGCCTCATCTTCAGACCCAAGAGAAGGCTACAATCAAAAGTAACTGCCTTCATGAGACACAGAGCCAGAAAGTAAAGTTATTCGATCCCTCCAGGCCCAGGAACTATCATAGACGAGCTGGGCATGTGAGATTGAAAGGGTCAATTTGAGGGATAAAATTATTTCAGAGATTGTCTACATTAAACTCAAAACACCTTGATGTA